CGGGGCAGCCATTTAAATTTAAATGAAGCCGCGATTATTTTAATCGCGGCTTCATTTCCCTCTCCCGATCTGGCTAATCTACATGCCTCCGTCGAAGGAGGCATGTAGTCTAGACACACCCTAGGTTACCTCCCTCACCCAGTAAGGGTCCCGCACCCTCTCTGATCACCCTCTTATTCCTAACATGCCTTCTTTAAAATACTGCCAGCTCTCCTGGACTCCTTTCCCCTTCATGTTAGCGTCCCAGGGAATCCTGCCCATCAGTTCTCTGAGGGAGTCACAGGCTGCTTTTCTGAAGTCCAGGGTGTGTATTTTGCTACTCTCCTTTCCTCCTTTGGTCAGGATCCCGAAATCTACCATGTCGTGATCACTGCTTCCCAGGTTGTCACCCATATCTTCTTCCCCTACTAGTTCTCCCCTGTTTGTGAGCAGCAGGTCAAGCTGTGCATGGCCCCTGGTCGGTCCCTTCAGCACTTGTACGAAGAAGTTATCCCCAATAGTCTCCCAAAACTTCCTGGATTGTCTGTGTCCTGCTGTATTGGTCTCCCAACCTATGTCAGGGTGATTAATGTCACCCATGAGAACCAGTGCCTGTGATCTGGAAGCTTCTCTCCGTTCTCTGAAGAAAGCCTCGTCTTCCTCATCCACCGGATCCGGTGGTCTACAGAAGACACCAACCACAACATCACCCCTGTTGCTTCCACCTCTAAACTTAACCCCTAGACTCTCAACAGGCTTTTCTCCCTCTAAGTACTGGAGCTCCGAGCAATCCTACTGCTTTTACATACAATGCAACTCCTCCTCCTTTTCTCCCCTGCCTGTTCTTCCTGAACAGTCTATACCCTTCCATGACAACGCTCCAGTCATGCGAGTCATCCCACCAAGTCTCTGTTATCCCGATCAAATCATAGTTCTTGGACTGGGCCAGGACCTCTGATTCTTCCTGTTTGTTACCCAGGCTTCTCGCATTGGTGTACAAACACCTCAGATGACCAGTTGATCGCCCTGCCTTCTCCATCCGAATCAGGGGTCCTCCCTTGTTGCTCATTCCTCCTTGTGTTTCTTCCGGGTATCCAACTTCCTCACTTACCTCAGGGCTTTGGTCACCATTCCCCAAGGAACCTAGTTTAGAGCCCTCCTCACTAGGTTTGCAAGCCTGCCCGCAAAGATGCTCTTTCCTCTCTTGCCATTTAGCCCAGTGGACCCACTGAGCTGTTCACATGTACACCAGATCAGGGTCTGGCCCTATGTCTCTGTTTGTATCCTGACACACACCAATGTATTCACCATGTCACTATAATAGCAGCTGGAAGGACTTTCCTCATCCTCTACTATTTGGGGAAGAATGAATTTTTGCAGGACATGAAAGGCCAGAATCCCCCATTGTGTTCAAAATTCATCCTGCCTCTCTTTCTTCCAACAGCTCCAAACATGGCGGGCTCGGGAGCCTCAGTTTCCTGATGTGAGCAGATCTCACACATCTGAGCTGTAACGTCCGTCGGAGGATCTCCATTAGTGTCACTCTTCCTGGGATGGAGGTAGGAGTGAGATTGGCGTTTGCCCTCCTTTGAGACAAGACACTGGGTGAATGTGCCAGTAGAGCAATAGTTCTAGAGGGAAGGGAAGGGAAGGGAAGGGAAGGGAAGGGAAGGGAACAAACTAACTCACTCCCTTTGAATTTTCAAGTAGACAAACAAGGCTACATCCCATGATACAAGGAACTGGTATGCCCTCATTATTGGATTAAACCAATGTAGCTCCCTCAGGGCGTGTCTACACTGCAGGGTTAAACTTGAAATAAGCTTCATAAATTGAGCTAGGATAATTGTGCTGCTTAAATCAATATGGCTTATTTCGACTTTTGGCGCTGTCTACACAGCAGTTATTTTGAAATAGAGCACTCTTCCCCCGACATCCTTTACGGTGAGAGTATGTCTAGACTGCAGCCCTCTGCCGGCAGAGGGATGCAAATTAGGCAAGTCCAAATTGCTAATGAAGCGGGGATTTAAATATCCCAAGCTTCATTAGCATAAACATGGTCACCGCTTTTTTTTGGCACTGTGCTTTGTCAGAGAAAAGTGGCAGTCTACAGGCTGATCTTTTGAAAAATAAAGACTTTTCCGATCGATCCTGTATACCTTGTTTTACAAGGCTTAAGAGATCTATTGGAAAAGGCTTTCTTTAGCAAAAGATCAGTCTCTAGACTGCCGTTTTTCTCTGACAAATCTCCGTGATGGAAAAAAGCAGTGCCCATTTTTATGCTAATGAAGCGTGGGGTATTTAAATCCCCGCTTCATTAGCAATTTCCACCTGCCTAATCTGCATCCCTCTGCCGGCAGAGGGGTACAGTCTAGACATACCCTGAGGGTTACAGGAGTCGGGGTAAGAAGCTCGTTGTTTCAAAATGATTTCAAAGTAACTGGCTTGCTGTGTAGATGTGCACTGCGCCATTTCGGAAGCACTGAAGTTACTCCGAAATAACTCTACTGTGTAGACATAGGATGCTTCTATACTGCAGGGCTTAACATCCAATAAGTTATGCAAACTGAGCTATGTCAACTGTGTATCTTATTTTGAAATAGGGAGTGTCTACACAGCTCTTGTTTCGAAATCGAGCACTCTTCCTCCTACTTCCCTTACTCCTCATACAATGAGGATTATGGGTGTCGGAGTAAGAAGTCCTCCAGCTTCACAGTATTTGACACTATTTTGAAATAACCGCCTGCTGTGTAGACGTGGACTGAGTTATTTCAGAATGGCGCTAGTTATTTCGAAATAGTGTTGCAATGTAGACGTACCCCTTAGCCTTAGAATCAGTTTATCCAACCCCCAAAGGTTGTAGATCAGCTGTAGCTTCACTGGTGTCCAAGGAGTCCTCTCACCAGTTGACTGACCCTGGTGTAGCAGGAACGGTGTCTGAACTTGGACAACAGCTGACACTGATGGTGACTGGGCCCAGCTACGTGTCTATCAAGAATTGCAGCAAGTTTTAGTCAGAAGCCTCCCTGGGTGAGCCACATCCACATTTGGTATTTATTAGATTCAGTTCCAGTGTGTCTCTGTTGCCCCCGCAGATCACCTATTCCGAGAACGACCCTGGCGAGAACCAGACTATCTTTGATGGGTTCATCCTGGTCAGCTTTTCCTACCTTAACAAGCTGCAAATCCTTCTGTTTCTGCTGCTGCTGGTCACCTACCTGGTCACCCTGATGGGGAACCTGTTTGTGATCCTCCTGATAAAGCTGAGCCCTTCCCTCCACACCCCCATGTATTTCTTCCTGGTCAACCTGTCCTTCCTGGAAATCTGCTGCACCTCCAGCGTGGTCCCTCAGCTGCTGGTTCACCTGCTGGTGGAGGAAAAGACCATCTCCTTTGTGGGCTGTGCAGCCCAGATGTACGTCTTCAACATCATGGGCCTCTCAGAATGCTGCCTCCTGGCAGCCATGGCCTACGACCGCTATGTGGCCATCTGCCACCCCTTGCACTACACGACCATCATGAGCGGCCGTGTGTGTGCACAGCTTGCAGTGGCTTCATGGAGCATCGGTGTCTCCATGGAGGTAGCTCAGACCACATGGATCTTCAACCTGCCCGAGTGTGTGCACAGCTTGCAGGGGCTTCATGGGGCATCGGTGTCTCCATGGAGGTAGCTCAGACCACATGGATCTTCAACCTGCCCTTCTGCAGTTCCCACCGCATCCATCACTATTTCTGCGACATCCCCCCGGTGCTGAAGAATGCCTGCGCTGACACATGGAATTTTAAGTTTTTCGGTTACATTGTGACAACAGCTTTTATCATTGTCCCTTTCTTGTTGATAATCCTGTCCTACATCATCATCATTTCCACCATTCTCAGGCTGCCGTCAGCGGAGGGGAGGCGTAAAGCCTTCTCCACCTGCTCCTCCCACCTCACGGTGGTGACTTTATTCTATGGAACGGCCCTTATCGCCTACCTGGTGCCCAAGTCTGAATCCACCCTGGAGATTGATCAAATGATTTCCCTCATGTACACAGCTGTGACACCAATGTTGAACCCCATAATATACACACTGAGGAACAAAGAGGTGAAGGGAGCCCTGAGAAAAAAGATAGACACGAGCGTTTTTGCACACAACTAAAGAAATAAAAGAATGGAAAGAAGGGTCCATCAAAAGAGGGGGATTAATGGAAAATCCTAAATACTGTGTTTTAATTTCTCTCTGTGACTCTTTATATTTGTACTGAAATTTTCTCATTTGAAATGCTTTCACATTGTTGCAAACCTGCCGGGATAATGAGACGAGAAATAGTAGTTACAGTAAATGTCCAAATTTCCCATATCTTAATGTTCTTAAAAATATGAAAGATGGAACATTTGACCAATTTTAAAATTCATTGAAAAATGAATGGAGAATTAGGTTAGTCAAAGTGGTGTCCTGTTTTTAGGTCTTCAAAATTTGAAAGGCCAAGGAAAATCCGGATATAATCAAGAAACGTTGCATTCCAGGGACACGTTCATCAAACGTGTCTGTCAAAGGATGGAATCGCCCCAAAAGCCATCACCACTGGCAGCAGGCTGTGTGGAGCGTGTGGGCCGTGTGCTCCATAGGCCCCTTCCACTCCACAGTGGGGAGCTGCCAAGGGCTCTTCCCACATGGGGCCCCCAAGAGAGGAAATTTCAGAGAGGGGTAGAGCTTTCCTGGGGAGGAGGGACTTCCTGTCCAGCTGCACCCTGGGCAGCGGAGTTCACCACTGGGACCAGAATGGTTGACCTGGGGCATTGTGGGACAGCTCCTGGAGGCCAATCACAGTTGACGTCTGTGCCCAGGCTGTTCGAGTGGACAATATCGACAGTCGCTCTATGGCACTCAGGGAGGGGGTGTTATCCAATGGGTGTGCCCAGGCATGGATGTGAAGACTCTTGGAGAGCGAGGTCAATGTAGGCAGGCCCTGTGCCCATTCTCCAACCAGAGCCAGAAAACGTGGCCCAGATGTGGCAGAACTGCCCCTAGCCATGCCCCCTGCAGTGATGCCAGGGCCAGGGATATGCCCCATAACACCCACCACCACTACGAGCTTAGGCTGGGTCAGGGGAAGGTGCCTCCCTTCAGCTCAGGCCAGGGCTGGGGTAAGGCGCCCGGCCCTCTCACTCCCCCACAGAGCACAGGTTGGGTAAGGTGAGCCCTCTCTCCCAACAACCCCTGGTCTTCCCCCACCAAACTCAGGCTAGGGTCAGGAATGGTGGCCAGCCAACCCCTCACCCCCCAAAGGCCCCAAGCCCATGATGCTGGCCCACATCACCAATCCTAGTGCGGTGCCACCACAGAACTGGACATTGGAAGCTGGATTTCCGACGAGGCTTCCAAGAAAGTTGGATGCTCCCAGACTTTGTAGTCGGGGTTGGTCCTGCTTTGGATGGGGGGCTGGACTCAGTGACTCCTGAGGTCTCTGCCGGCCCTGGGATTCCAGGGTTCAAAGTCTTCGCATGACATCTTTGAAACCCCCCACCATAAAAGCCACCGTGTTGACGGGACGTGCCCGAGGAGAGGAAGTCTTTCTCCCACAGGTTCCATTCTTCTCCATAGATGGCCCATTTGTGTTTCAACATCTCCAATTCCCAGTACATAAGAACGGCCAGACCGGGTCAGTCCAAAGGTCCATCCAGCCCAGCGTCCTGTCGGCCGACAGTGGCCAACGTCAGGGGGAGTGAACACAAGAGGAAATCATTGAGTGATTCCTCCCCTGTTGCCCATTCCCAGCTTCTGACCAACAGAGGGTAGGGACACCGTCCCTCTCCACCCTGGCTACTAGCCATTGATGACCTAGCTTCCAGGAATCTATCTACCTCTTTTTTGAACCCTGTTAAAATCCTGGTCTTTACAACATCCTCTGGCAAGGAGTTCCACAGGATGCTTTTTGCAATATCCATCAACAACGCACAGGGACAGTCCGTCGCAATGGGCTGGCATGGACTTGAGAACAGGTTGCTTTGCACATGGCCAACTGCATGTTGCTGCACAGAGCGAGGGAAGGGGCGAAACCTCCCTGTATTCCAGAAAAAGTCAGAACAGCTGCAAATATGGTCGCCCAGCAAGCTCTGTGAAATGTTTGAATCACGCTCCTACTCTCATGAATACGCACTTCTTTTTTTCTGTCATTCTTGGCCAATAAAACCAGTTGCATAAAGCACGTACATTTTCCTTTTGTTTTCCAAAAAACAAAACAAACCGCAAACAAACCCAAACTTCGCTTGACTTAAACATTCAGAGAACCCCGGTTATGGGTGGAGGGTAGGGAAGGATCAAGTGATGATCAGACTTTGATTTTTCAGTTCCTGCACTGTTGGCCTGTCTTAATCATGCAGCACAGGGCATTTCCCTGTTCTCAGAGGCAATCCTCAGCCTCAGAGCAGCTCGGAAGGTTAATTAAACCCAGGGGAACTCATCTCTCCAACCGTGCAAGAGTTTACTCTATTGAATGCGTAATGTCCCTCTGTGTTGGCTGGGGTCTGTGTCCTGTGGGCGTGCATGGGGCCAGGGCAAGAGCCGGGCCTGGGCCTGGCTTGGCCCTTGGTCAATTTCTACCCCACACAGCTCACCCTGGGCTTGAGTTGCAAAGGGGCTGAGGGCTGAGGAGCTCCAGGAGAGACGCGAGTCTCAGGGGTTGATGGGAGTCAGACCAAAGATTCGATCGGTGTCCGGGGAAGAAGGACACAAACGATTCCCCTGTGGGGGCAGAACCGGCCCCCCCTGGGCTCCGGCAGAGACATTTCCTGCAGAGCAAAAAGGATGACGCAACCGTCTTTACGCTGTTGCCAACAGCGTTTCCCTGCCGAGCTGGCGTCGGTGTCCCTGGCACACAGGAGACCGTTCCTGCCCTGCGCCTGGGGCTGTTTGGCGCCTCGAGACTCCGCATGTTTGTCTGTGAGATTCGCCTCTCCCAGCTCTGTGGCTGCCTCACCCCGAACACTGACGGGCGCATCTCACGGGGGCACGGCCCGTTGGTCGAGAGGCAGGGCAGGGAAGGTCAAAGGTCTCTGGGTCATCCCATCCGGCCTGCTCTGAGTCATGTTGTGTTAACTCTCCTCACACAGGCCCGGAGACTATTTCAGCCTGGAGAGAAAAGAGAAACGTCCTTAGTGAGCCCGGTCCTAAATACACAGGGAAGGGTTGGAACTTAACTTCATTCACAAGTCTGATTCCTATCAGAGAGATATGAATAAAGACATTGGCTGGCTCACACACGCCTCCCACAGCCTTACGGCTTAACCCACCAGACAAGGGGGATTTCTTGTTCTTATCAGCCTCTTGTAACTAGAACACTCCAGCTCACTTTTTTCTTTTTCCCTTCCTCCCCCCTTCCCTTATTTATTCTTGGGTCTGGACTTTTAACGCTCCAGCCATCTGAAGAAGTGTGCTGTGCCCACGAAAGCTTACGATCCCAGCGACATGTTTTGTGAGTCTCTAAGGTGCTGCAGGACCATTCAGTGGGTTTTTTTAATTTTTCCAGTTGCAGACTAACTCAGCTCCCCCCGAAGCGATGGGGACGGGGCAGGTCTGGGAGGCAGAATGGACCATGTCACGTAACACTGCGAAACCAACACTAACGGCAGGAAGGAAAGAACAATTTATGTAACAGAGAAACTCAGTGTGTGTGTGTGTGTGTGTGTGTACACATATGTGTGTGGCTGTGCATGTGTATGTGTTTGTGTATGTATGTGTGTGTGTTTGCATATGTGTGTATGTATCTGTATGTGCATGTGTATGTGTTTGTATATGTATGTGTATGTGTGTGTCTGTCTGCATGTATGTCTGTATGTGTGTGTTTAGATCCATATGTATGTATGTGTTTATGTATGTTAGCATATGCATGTTTGTATGTATGTGTGTATGTATCTGTATGTGCATGTGTATGTGTTTGTATGTATGTGTGTGTGTCTGTGCATGTATGTGTGTGTGTGTATGTGTTTGAGTGTATGTGTCTGTGTGTGTGTCTGTGTGTATCTGTGTGTGTGTGTAGCTTATGCAATGATGATAGTCACACATAGCAAAGGGTGATGAATTTGCCTCAGAAACACCAGAGACCGATGGCCTGGACAGAGACATTCGAGCGGGGGGGAGAGGCTGGTATCTTGTCTCGCCGGGGCAGACAGCAGACTGTCCAACAGGAGACCTACCCACCCGCTGCGTCTCACTCCTGTCCTGGCTCCCAGGCACCCCCAAGAGCAGCGGACGCCGCGAGCGTCAGGCCAAGGCCTCAT